TATTGCATTTGCACGTGATCCACGATGGACATTAGATCATTTTTGTGTTACTTGTCTTATACGTCGACCATTAAGATCAAAACATTGTCCTGTAGATGGATCATGTATAGTAAAATTTGATCATCATTGTAATTGGTAAGTTTAATAGAAAATTATTACATATGTATATATATGTATATAAGATATTAATGATTTACAGAAGTTAAAAATAACAGATAGATAAATAGAAAAGATTTTTCATTCAAAACAAGAAATTTTTAGTCTAGATTGTTTTTTTTTGTTCGATGAATTTCTAATATGGTATTTTTCAACGTTTGAATTAAACATTGTATGACTACCGATTCTCAAGTTTTTATTTTTTTTGTTGAAGTTGAAACTCTATGTTTGAGAATTATTCTTTTATGAGAAAGAGTACTCAAGTGTGACTTGTCAATCGAGCTGAGATTTTATCTATAAGTAAATCCTGATGCGACTGGTAAAAACCTATAAGGGTTCTTCTCCATGCTCCTATCCGTCACAAATCATTAGAATTCTACTGAATTTGTTTTCCGCTGACAAGATATTGGTGAGAAAACTGAATACAGAGTTTCAACCAGAAATTTCGTCTATAAGTAGGTCTTGTGGACACTAGAATGATCTGAAGATGTCAGTCTGTAAAGAGATTTTTTTTTCTTGAAACATTGGATACTCAAAAACAATCATATATCATAAGAAAAGGTAACAGAACCAAACGTTTTCACTATTTGATATCTCAAGGACAACATCTCGTTTTTGATTGAAATCTCTAGCACATTCTAACGTCCATAAGATCTGCTTAGGAGTAAAATCACAAGTTGGAACTTTTGAAAAGTGACTTTTTACCAATGCCTAGCCAGAGATAAGAAACTCATTAAAATTATAATAACTTGAGAAAGATAGAGCATAAGGATGAATCCTCATAGGTTTCTACTAGAAGATTTTCTCGATTGCTTACTAATAGAGTTAAGTACATGAAATAGTTTCGCGAAATGAAAATTATTAATTTATAACTAAATCTATGATTTTCTCAAGTAAATATTTTAATACCGTAAATAAACATGGACTCATCTCTCTGTAGAAGACTTGAAGTCCTCTCTAGCAGTGTTATCAAAGGACTTTCGTCTCCTTCACAGATAAGATGAAACAACTGAATTCCGCACAACTTTTTTCTGGTTACGCTATTACAGCAAATACTTTTTCAAAAAACAAAAAACTTTTCTTTTCACTGCTTTACATGCAACTCAAAAACTATATTAGTTTTTGAAGAAGATAATGATTGAACAAATTATTTCTTCATCTTGTATTTAACTTAGAACTTCTTAGAGTACGAGCAATAATGTTTATGAAAATAACTTTATTATCTATAATTGGAGTGGTATAAGAAAATAATGTCGCACTTTTTCCTATGAATAATTTTGATCTCAAATAATAAATCATTCTATCGTTAGCTAGTGTTTTTCTTGATTTTGAAATGAAATGTAGTAGTTCGTAATAGAGAATGTCGATGATATGATGTTTTTGACCTGACTCACTCGAGTCCGAATCCGATCAACCTCATGGATTTAATGAATTTCTTTTCTTCTATTCGTGAACTACTCCTCGGGTTGCATAGTTATTCATGCATCACGGACTGTCTACGGATTTACAAATATTTTGTTACAAATTCATTAGATTGTTTTTATTGGTGTGTTTCTTTTTTCTGATTAATCGTGAAATTAAAATTTTTACAGGAAGAATATTTTTTTTTATTATTATTTCTGAACATATGCATAAAAGTTGGAAAAAATTCAATAAACCTTCAAAACAACAAATAGTAAAATAAAAGTAATAGGATACGATCATATACACAATATGAATATAGTAGATACAATTTTAAACTAGAATCATGGCGACGATAGATGTATAAAAAACCGAAACATAGCTAAATTATACATCATTCACTAAACATGGTTTTGTACGACTGTTGATTTGTAATTCGTTGCGACTAAAAGAAGACCCATAGCCAAAGCGCAGTTATATGTTTACATGCTTTAAAACAACTATTTGAATGACTAGAAGGAATATGTCGTGAGAGCAAATCATGAAAAGCAATTAAATCAATAGAAGAATGAAGTAATGGCATGAATAGCGAACGAAACTATATGTAGAACGAAAGAACGAAAAGCAAAATTCGTAAACTAGTTTAACCCATGCAAGAGCAATGACCTTGGTGAATTGAATCAAAACAGATCAGTTCATTGTATAATAGGTTGCATATTACGAATCAATGCAATTAATAGTGACATTAAAAACCAGAGGAGAATGTATCTATCTTGTTTACTTTTTTTTACACCTAATATTTAGAATATTTTTATTAAAACTTCAATCTGTTTATTTGAACATCAGCTTATTTGAAACAAACAAAAATAGAATTCTCAGATCTTTCATCGAGTGCCTATAATTTCCAATACTTTGGCACGGAGATCGAGAAAAAAAGATTAATTCTCTTTTTGATTTGATTCATATTTCTTATTAGCCGAAGAATATTGTAATAATAATATCTTATAAATGAGTGGCAAAAAGCTTAACAACCTATTTTATTGATTTCTTTTTCTATAATGTTAAGCATCTAGGTTAAGTTCAGACAGAAATTTTAATAAAATTATCTATTTATGTGTGCTATAGCAACATACCATAAATGAAGGTTTCTATAAAATCTGACAATTAGTTTTGAGATCCCACAGACTACACTTTAGTAATATCATTTTAAGGAGCACAATATGAGGGATTGCCGCATTTTCTACGATCTTCCCTTAAAAAGTTAAAGGTGTCACAAAAACCCAAAAAAGGTGATTTTTTGATAAATTTAATTTTTTTCTTTTTTATACAATACTTTGAAGTTTTTAAGGGAATATGGTGGAAAATGCGGCGATTCATCATTTTGTACTCTTTAAAACGACATTGTTTAAAAAAAGTAGCTTCTAGTATTTGAAAAACTACTGTGTTCGCGTATTTTTAGAAATCTTCATCTTTGAAAACTTGCTATAGAATGTATTAGAAAGACAACTCTATCAAAATTACTATCTGACTTTGTGCGAAGTGCTTACATTACAGAAAAAAAAATAAAAACATATGTTATTCTTAAATGTTTTTCTAAAAAAAACTCATACTCAAGTTTTGTTTTTTCCTTCATCTCATATATGAAATAAAAAAACCAATTATATTTATTGTTTAGGCTTAATGCATGCATTGGTGGTCGAAATTATTTTTATTTTTTTCGTGTATTAATATTTGGTACAATAGCACTTTTTCTATGGATGTATCAAGCATTGTCTCTTATTTATAATGATTCTACACAGTTTATGATAAAATATTTATTTACACAAATCTATGATCCTTGGTTTATTTACATGTTAATTATAACATCATTTAATACAATTTGGGTTACGTTAATGACAACATTTCATTTTATAAATTCAATATGTTTAGGTATAACAATAAATGAACGTTTAACAGGTTTTCGTTATAGTTATTTTCGTGATGAAAATACAGGAAAATTTACAAATCCATTTCGAAAGCAAAAATTTAAAAATTTTCTTGAAACATTTGGTTTATTTCGTTTAATGTCATTATTTCGTTATACTCGCATTGATTGGTCACAAGTTTATGATATTAACCAAATTAATGTAACAAAAATGAATTGATTTTTTTTTTCTTTTAATCTTTGTCTTCTTGCTCTTTTTTTTTCTAATTATCTGTTTCTTTTTGTTTCAATTTTCTATAAAACATCACTTTTACACTAGTTTCATCATATCTATAGATATGTGCTTGTTAAACACAAGAAAAAAGATTAAATTCACAAAATGATATACTCTCTTGAGAATCTCTTTCCGAAAAGTTAATTGAACGAAATGATGAGAAACTAAATGATAATCAAATCGAGACAAATCAACAATTAGAAAATATAATAACGATTCTTCTACGTAATATTGAAATTAGAGAAAAAAAAATAGGAAACTTTAGACTTCCTTGACGTCAGCTAAATATTCTACGAATATATTTACATCATCAATCGTCGAAATTTGAAAGAAAAATATATTTAAGAAAAAAAAGAAGATATTTGCAATAGCTTTTTAATGAATATTTAATATTCTTGAAACTGAAGATGTTTATCATGATTTCTAAGTTTTGAAAACAAAAACAAAACTTTTCTTTATTTATATCATAGAACAATTGATTATTGAAATATTTATTAATGTAAACCGGATAGTGAATATTTGATTGCATTGACACAAGTTGTTGAATGTGATGATTTATCAATAGTCTATATTAGATATTTAGTAAACAAGAGCAACTCCTTCAGTCTATTGACATCAATTCAATGAAAAGCTTCATTCGATTGGAAGGATTATTTAATTTGTATTAAGTAAGGGAACGATCAAGCTATTGAACGAACTAATCGACAACACGGATAGTTGAGTTGATAGTTTAGAAGCTTATCCTCTTTTGTTCGAGAATGACAAAAAAAAAAGAATATCGGAAGAAATTTTTTATTTCATTTGTAAGAAATTTGTATATAACAAAAATAATATATCTGAATATTTTTGTAAATGAACTATTTATTATGTTGATTTCTAAACTTCAATGAAATGAATATTTCATCATGAAAAATCAATATAAGATTTTAAATCGATTCGACATTATTTTATTAATGCTAACATTCTGACATTAGTGAAAGATTTTACAAAATTAATTCTAACCATTTTGAAAATAAATTAAATTCTTCTTCCATGCGTTTGAAATAATTATAGAAAAACTTCATGAACTGTGAAGAAATATTATCTTGTTTTGTTTCTTTTTTGTAAAAAAAAAAAAGAACGGAAATCGACTGTTGCAGAATAGGTGCTCGTAGTCGTTGTACAAAAATAGATACAGACAGGAAAAAAAAGCACTAAACATGTAGGGAAATAAAATTTCTCTTTCTCTCTTTTTGTTTTTTTTCTTTACATAATCAGACACTTTCGAGCTGAAGCTCGATTTGATGCTGTATCAGAATTTGGACTCTTTTTTGAATTTCCTGTTAAATCATTTTGCTCAATTAAAGTTCGTGCACTTTTTTTAATATTTGTTGTTGATGACGTTGATGTTCGAGTTGATTTATTTCCGTGTAGAACAGGTGTTGTTGGTCGAGTGGTAACAACACCTGTTGTTGTTGTTTCCGTTATATTTGGATTACTACCACTATTTGTTGTTGTTGATGAACTTGAATTCGTTGTTGCTATACGTTTTCCACCATGAAATGAAGGTGATGATGGTGTTGGTGTACCACCATTTTCTTCAATTAAATGTCCATCTTGATCAACATTAAAATTAAATTGTCTTTTTTTATCTAGTTTAAGAAGTTCTTGAAATGCTTCACGTATATTTGTGTTTGTTTTAGCTGATGTTTCAATCCATGCACATGACCAATGTGATGCTAATTGTTTACCAAGATTTTCTGTTACTTCACGACATGCAGCTTCATCTAATTTACAACCCATTAATAATATAGGTGTATCATATTGTTGATCAGCTTTTATTTCACGTATTTGATTATATATAGGTTTTAATTCTTCAAGTGTTTGTTTACTCGTTATAGAATAAAGTAACATAAAAGCATGACCTTTTTGTATACTTAATCGTTGCATCGCTGGAAATTGATGTGTACCAGTACTAAATAAAATAATTTATTTCAAATAAATCTACTATTGTATTTCCTTTACATACGTATCAAATATTTGTAAAGTAGTTATTTGTTTGTTACAAGATACAACCTGTCGATATGTATCTTCAACTGTTGGAATATAATTTTCACGAAATTGTCCATTTACAAAACGAAGAACACAATTTGTTTTACCTTCAATACAATAAAATAATTTATGAATTTTGTTTTTATTTGTTTGAATCAGATTTACCAACGCCAGCACTACCAAAAACTACTATTCGATAATCTGTACTTTGATCGGGCATAGCCCGAAAGGGTGTAGCTGGATCTTTATTTGGCTATAATAAATAAATAAGAAAATAATAAAAAACAAATTATATTTAATGAATTAAAAACATAGATAAATACCAGATGATAGTCTGCAATATATCTCATAGCTGTCAAGTACTTTCCATAAAGAAAGAATTATCATGAAAAATGTATGAACGATAAAATATAAGAGGAAAACAGCAAGCACATTTAATGCTCTTTAACTTAGTCGATTTTCTATTTCTTCTTGTTCATCTGCATCTTGTCCTACATGCCTTCTACGCTTCATCAACAGAAGTAAGTCCGTCATTTTTGCCGTCGTTCTCTGGAGAAAATGACAAACGCATGCTCATTCTCTCTTTGATTCAAACAACATGCAACACGAAAATACACTAGTATTCACAATGTTAATTAATCTCTAGCATTTCTTTTTGTTCATCTAAATACGTCATTCATATTTATATTTGTCAGGTGAAATAGTTAATTATGTATTTTATTTATATTTCTTGATAATAGTTAATAAAATTAATGAACACATATACAAGCAGGTGGATATAAATAAACTGACATACAAAATTAAATTGGACATGATATTAAGTTTTTAATTCATAAATAATCAACTCTTGTCTATTGATAAAACAGAATAATAAATTTTATATCTTCATATGAAAATCTCTCGGGTCACATTAGTCTTTCATATTCTTTTCTTAATAGAACGTATGAATAATAATTAAATATATATTATATAAAGAAAGCAAAAAAAAAAATCACTTGTTTTAAAGTAAAATTATTATCAACTATTAAATATTATATTTTTAAAAACTTCAATCTTACCTTATCAAGTGCCATTTTGTTTCGGTTCGACAAACAAACAAAATAAGGAAAATTGTCTCAATACTGCTTGTATATATTGAATAATAATAGAGAGCACACGCACACGCATGCTCACACGCACATCACCGTGCAATAGAGGATCTCGAATTCTTTCATCATCATCTCTTGTTGTTACTTGCCTTGTCTCTATGTATTCTATCTTTTTTTTTTTAGTTGAGTAATAATCACCAAGTAGACAAAGAAAAGAAAGAGAGAAAAGAATAGGAAATATTATAACGACAAAGAAAGAACGAGAGAATGCACTATGCTTTTTTCCGACCGAAATATGACCAAGAAAACAAGAAGAAAGACCGTTTTGTTTAAAAGACTTCGTTCTATCTAGAAAAAAAGCGAATGACACACTGTCTATGGAAACGATTTAGGCAATAATAATAAATGAAGGTTAGAAGTTTTATCGGCTCGACAATACAATCATGCTATCGAGCAAAGAATCAGCATCTAGTTTTTCTTTTTCCTTTTCTTATTTTTTTATTTTTTAAAGAAAACTGACATTTCAACTTTTTTTTCTTTATATGATTCTATTTGTACTAATTGACAAAATAATGACGGTAGTAACGATCATAATTTGACAATTTGCAATGCATGCACACATCTGGTCAATTCAGTCAATACAAAGTTTTTTTGTATTGGCATATCGACGACATAGTTTTCTTTTTTTTTTCTCTTTTTTTTTCTATTTTTTCTTAGTCAATATTCACAATTGAATTCACCCTTATACACTCACTAGAGTAATCGGGTTTGTGCGCTTGTGATAAATATATAAATATATAAAGGAAATAAAGGCGAAGCTATGCACTATCTTATTTGAAAAAAGATAAGAGTGTTGATGGCAAGTGAATAACGATGAATCGATAATGGAAATGCACTATATAATTTTATAGGCTTTAATATAACGAAATGTTACTAAATTACAAAAGACTATGTCAATACAATGCATAGATTTCAATTTTCCCATTGTTTATTGAAAGAAACCATGCATGACACCTATCATTTGTAGAGTTTCATTAAAAACTTATTTTAATCTTTCGAATTAGATATCCTTAAGTTTTAAAAGCTTGATAGCTTTTTGTACGTACATATTCACATTGTATAGAATGCTTTAATTAAAAAGAAAAATTTTTAAAACTACATTTATTTAAAACATTTTATCTTTATTCAATGTTAAAAAAAAAATTAGTCTTCTTTATTTTTTGAATAGATTTTCTTTTTTCTCTAGTTCAGTTATTCTAAATGTAATGACAATACTTTCTCGAGGATAAATATTAATAAGTAAGAGATTTAAATAATGAATAGTTTTATTTCGATTATTGATGTTTTTCTTTTCTATAATCATGATTTGTAAAAATCAAAGTCCCTCAAGAAAATAAATGATTCAGTTAATGTAGAAACTTTTTTTCTTAGAATACCAAATGAACATTTTACCTAGAATAAAAAAAACACTTAAGAGAACAAAAATTTCTTTTTTTTTTAAAAGAAAAAAAAAAAAAGGAGTTTTTCTTTGATTAAAAGCAGTAATGTATGACATATGTTTTATTTCATATCGAAAATGAATGTGTCGAGCATATGCTGACATCGATTAAAGAAATGTCACACTGAATATAGGTTTATCCAATTTATTGAACCGATCATATTCGCATGTATTGCTATGGAATACTAAGAGATTGTTATTTATTGCTTGATATTTTTTTTTTATAAGTGGCTCATGTTATTATTTGTCAAAAGGGCAAAAGATGTTTTTTTTTGTTTTACTTAACAGGATTTTACAGCACTATTTACTTTTGATCAATCGTTTAATAATTAATCACTTGCATGACGCAGTATAATGTGTAAAAACAGAATGAATGTCTTAAAAAGTTATCGTCTAGCATTTTATTAATTGGTAATCTTATCTGTGAATATTCATATTAAATTATTTTCTTTTTTTCAAGAATATTTGAAAAAGTTTTCATAAACATATGATTTGTATGATATTCAAAGATAATATGATTATCTTTTTATGAATAACTCGTGATTTTCAGAGTCATATATACTTTTTTTTTTTATTACGGATTATGTCACTTAATACTTGAAAGTTTGAAAATGAGAATTTAATCTTTTTATATAGGTTTTCCGGAAGAATGATACGATTAGATTAAATTTAAACTACTAATGAATCTAAAAATGAATGTCATTACAAACAAGTTCAAAATGAGAATAGAAAAAAAAATCTATTATGAAACAATAGACAAGCATCGAAAAATTATAAATAAACGTTGATTATTCATAGAAATTATAAAAATAGATTGTATCAAATAGACTATATTTTCTTCTGATGTCGAAACAAAACCCGACTATAAAAATGATAAAAATAAAATTGCAAAGAAAAAATTCTTAAAATAAAACAAAACATTTAAGTTTTCTTTGTGAAGATATTAAATGTGAAATTCATACGAAAATATTTCTAAAAACAAAAAGCTTAATGCTCATAACAGTATCATATTTAATAAATTCTATCGACTGAAGTTATTTAGTTTATCGTAAATAATACGGCTAACTTACATGTACAAATCTTTGTCAACATGCCGTATTTTAAGCTTTTTCTAGCTTAAAGTTAGTTCATTGAGAACAATTTCTTGGTAGTCACTGAAACCGAAGTTGATGAATATGTTGACTTATTTTTCGAACACCTAGATGACATTGAAGAGGACTAAAAATGGTTAGTTAGAACGAAAATTCGATGCTCCTTCAAAATATATGACCAAAATTCTTTTTTCTGACGTACGGCTGGTCAGTTATCAGCAAATATTTAAGTAAATAAAAAACTTTGCTAGCACTTAAGAGCAAGCTATACCAATTAACACATGCCGTTAGAGCTTATATTAAGTCCAGAAGAAGATCTCGATAAGAGTAGCAAAAGCTTAAAAGGGTTTGCCCAGTTAAGTTTTTGGCGCAGAGTTGTGAAAGGTTTATTGTATTTTCGACATACTTTCGGTACTTCCCACAAAAATCAAATCATAGAGTTCTAATCTAGAATATTGTTTAAAGACAGGATCAGTGACTCGTAGAATATTCTGAAAGCTTCCGCCAAAACGAATATTTCTTCGTTGAATTATTGAATTCTCAAGCGGACTCGATTATTGTGACATGCCTATGACAAAGGGCTATTTATTGAAAGCCAATATCTTGATAGAAAAACATTCTTTTCAGCTGAAACCTTCAGAATATTCTAGGAATTATTAGAGCTATGTATAGGTACAATTTTAGATCGAGACTTTGTTATTTGATTTTTTGGAAAATTCCTAAAATATGTTAAAAATCTAGATAACCAGTCATAATTCGACACCAACGACTCATGGGAACGATTCCTTATAGACTTACACTTGTCTCACTGCGATTTGATCGTGTGTCAAATATGAGCTTGAACGGCTGGCATCAATTGGGGTAACTCCCTCCTAAGTAGAATAAGTCTTTTTCTGTCGTTTATAACTCCTCTGAATGGAATTTTGGGATAATATTGACGTTACAATATTTTACAGAATTTAGTTTTTCTCCAAATAATGGATTATAGTAAGATAGAACTTGAAAGAATCAAAATCTACAAACATTTTTCAAACAATTACTTTTTATCTCAAATGGACTTGTTCAAAAAGAATTATTTTTTTTTCTCCGAATTTCGGTATCTAATTAGACTGCTATAGATTTTCATCGTTTATAGCAATATTCAAAAAAACAAGAAGTATATTGGGTATTTTGTGTAGAGTCAATCACTCTTTATGATTCTGTATAGACATAGTCCCTGGCCTCTGTTAAAAGTATGCACTCAATGAATTAAATTTAAGACAGAAGAAAAAATTCTAAATATGTTGTTAGAGCAAGTATGAAATTTCTGATTCTTTTCATTGGCGTATAAGTGGATGTAAATTCAAGTAATCTAAACAAATCATAAAACAAGTTAGACATAAGTTTTCTTTTTATTTTGAAATTTTTTATTTCAAAATTTCAATATTTTCTTGCTTTTATTAATAAATTGTAACATAGTATTACTCAACTTCAATAAGATTATGATAAAAACAGATAATCTCTTGTAAGTTTATATTTCGCAACTGAATTAAATAAAAAGCATGTAATATGTTTGACAAATAATTATGATGTAAAAAATTAGCAAATATCGTAGTTCTTTCATTCATTTGAATATCATACCATATGGCATACTTCTGTCAGATGATCAGATGAAAATCTACCTGCTAAAACAAACTAATCACATCTGCATTCATATGAATTTGATAATTATTTTACTCATATTTCAAGCTCTTAAAAAGGGGCTCATTTTCTTCGATTGAGAAGAATTTTTTTTAATTCGAGTTTATCATTTCTGAAGACGTTGTGGAATGTCTTCTATCGAAAGCCGTAAAAATTAGAACTGTATAAACCTGTATAAATTCTAAAAGACTAAATTTCGAGAAACTTTCTCTTGGAAAAAAGTGTTTATTTTTCTAGACATCAATCTTATAGGTTTATCTTATTTATTAAATGTCAAACATGGTATGTTTATTGATAATATCTACAATTATATATTGTATCATTCTGTTAAGAGGATAGGTATCAGTGTACATGAAACATTTATACTCTAAGCTATAAGAAATACATTAATATAGTCAACAAATAAAATTTCAAACGTAAAATAATCAATGGATGAAGAAGAAGAAAAAATCATGACTTGTTTTCAGCAACTTCTTCAATAAAAGACCTTGCTTCAAAGCCAAAGAGTGTTATTTTACATTTTGACGACGCACTCTTTTTTTTTCTTGTAAAAGAATAAAGCTGCTGTGTCAAAGTTACTTATAACTTGCAAAGTATTACCTATTATAAGTGCTACTCTTGTTTTAATAGAAAATGGCACAAACAGAAAATATTAAGATGTGAAACGAAACAAAAAATTCAAAGATTTTCATTTCTACTGAAATTGTCAAACCGTT